ACATGCATCGGCCAGTTGGCTGCGCTGTAGCCATTGCAAGCCGAGATGAAGTGCATAATGATGCTTCGGCCGCAATTCGGGTTCATCAAGATCTTTGCGTTCGCGAAGGAATTCGCCGACAACACGGTTGTATTCCGCAACGAGGCTTTCTCCGACTTGATCGGGCCCCACAATGAACCTCGCAAGCTCTCAAAACTTTCAGCAATATGATCTTCAACAACTTAACATTGCTAACAAACTCTAACATTGCTCAAAGATGACCTAGTGGCTGACAGCGCTCCATCAAGGAAACTATATGAAATATAAAAGGCAGCCAAGCAACTTCAGCCGCCTGGCGATGCTGGCGCAGTTGCAAAGAAGTGAGAAGCATCGAAACTCCACAGCCTCAGCGTGGCCTGCCGGGGGCGGGACCATGACGTTGAAGAACTCTGGCTGAAGCGAGCGACGTATCTGGGAAGATGTCAGCTTTTGCCGCCCCTGAATTTTTCCATTCAAATCTAGGAGACTGTCAATCACCGCGTTCCTTTCCCAACCTAGCCTGCGCAAAGAATTCAAAAGCCACATTGTGCGCAAGCTGAAAAGTCCGTGAACCCAAAACACACGCATCGGATCGTAGCACAATATGCTTGGTGGCGCAATTGATCTATGCACCTTGTCACACAGCAAGCCATCTGGAATCGCGCTCCAGCCCAAGCTCGTCTCCATTTCGGATAGTCGCGAGCGAGACACACGTAGTGATTGTTCTTGCAATAGGTCAACGACTTCAAACACATCTTCGTCTGTTACAAACTGACATTCGTGCAGCGCTGATAAAGATTGTAAGCCCGCTGCGTGGACTGCGTTGAGATCGCCGGCAGCGCGTCCGTGAACGTTCGCGCAGCGAAAGCAAACTTTGCGCCCGGCCGAACCCTTGCAAGCCAGCGCCGCTTTCAGCGCAGGCTCGTCCGCGAAAACCATGGTCAGCCGTAAAGAAACAAAGAGCGACTCAGATCCTACTTTGAGCAGTTGCCCAAAGCGCCACTTGTGCACCGTCTTGACCAAAGCGCAAAAAAAAGTGGTGAGGCCGCCTTGTATCAGATCCTTGTCAACGGTGCGAAGTAGCGCCAGCGCCCACCATGCAGACTCCGAGCAAGACTGCTGCCACACGCCGCTTGTAGACGCGAGAAAAAGAGCTTTTTTCTGATTACATGGCTGAAGCGGGTTTCCAGGTGTCACTTCATCCAAATAAAGGTAAAGGGATTGCTGTCCCTTGCCAATAGACAAAACGTGACGGCCGAAGGCTGCGCAGGTGCTGATCAAGTGCTGCCAAAGAGCAAGTAAATTGATCACAGGAAATGAGAGGGTTGTCCCGTCGACACCAGGCACGTGAATGTCTTCCATGGCAGTCTTGCGCCGACGCAAAGTAGAATCCGAGCAGCCTTCTCCCGCAATTCGTCGGGACTCCGATGGGCCTGCGCTACGGCTTTCCAAAAGCCGAGTCCAGTCGTCTGCTTCAGCTTCATGTTTTCGTTTCGACATCGCTGATATGTATTTACGCTTTCTTGAGCTCGCAAATGCATGTCAAACAACAATCCTGCCCGCTCAGATGCATCTACTCACATGGTGAAGCTCTCAATGCCTGTCAAATGTTTAAACTCTCAAGTACGCTCAAAGGTGAAGCTCTCAAAAACTGTCAAAGGCTTAAACTCTCCACAAAGCTCAAAGGGTGCAGCTCTCAATGCCTGTCAAATGTTTAAACTCTCAAGTACGCTCAAAAACTCTCAAATGTTTTAAACTCTCAAGTACGCTGAAAAGGTGAAGCTCTCAATGCCTGTCAAATGTTTAAACTCTCAAGTACGCTCAAGGGGTGAAGCTTTCAATGCTTGTCAAATGTTTAAACTCTCAAGTACGCTCAAAGGGTGAACAAAGGGTGAAGCTCTCAATGCCTGTCAAATGTTTAAACTCTCAAGTTCGCTCGAAGGGTGAACAAAGGGTAAAGGGTGAAGCTCTCAATGCCTGTAAAATGTTTAAACTCTCAAGCACGCTCAAAGGGTGAATGCCTGTCAAATGCTTAAACTCTCAAGTACGCTCACAGGGTGAAGCTTTAAAAAAGACCTCTCATCGTTTGATTTAGCAATCAGTCCTCCACCACTTTGCGCTTGCGCCTCTCGGCAGCGGCCTTCTGCCTCTCGGCAGCGGCCTTCTCCTGCACGCAGCAAGAATAAATAGAGTACAGATGCTACATACACGAATGGCCTCACTGCCTGCAGGCTGCAAGGAGTGCAGCTGCGTGAGGCCATGCACTTCTCTGTCCTGAGAAAAGCATGGGCAACATGGTCAAGCTGGAAGCAGACAAGCTCTGAGACGAGCGCGGCGAGGCCACCTTCAGAAGACCGGGCCTCGCTGGCGCGAGCCTGCTGCGTGGCGACTTCGGCGAGCTGAAAGGTCTGACAGCCAAAGTCAAAGCATCAGTGCACGGCACAGACCTACCCAAGGCGCGAGCCTGCTGCGCGGCGACTTCGGAGAGCTCAAAGGTCTGACAGCCAAAGTCAAAGCATCAGTGCACGGCACAGACCTACCCAAGGGCATGCCTTCTCGCGCAGCTCATCCGCAAATGCGGTTTATCTGGCGTTGCGCAAGCCAATCAAACTCCGAGACACGACTCTCACAAACTATGCAGCAAAGAAGTCTCAAGCTTGCAATGACAGATAACCATCAAGTTTGCAATGCGGAAACTCCCAAACTGTGAAGGTCAAAAACTCTCAAGCTTGCAATGTGGAAACTCCCAAACTGTGAAGCGAAAAACTCCCAAACTCTGAAGCAAACAACTCTCAAGTTTGCAACGTGGAAAGCAAAAAGCTCTCAAGCTTGCAATGTGGAAGCTATCAATCCCTCAATCAGAAAACCATCAAGCTTGCAATGTGGAAACTCCCAAACTATGAAGCAATCAACACTCAAGTTTGCAAGGTGGAAACTCCCAAACCGTGAAGCAAACAACTCTCAAGCTTGCAGTGTGGAAACTCCCAAACTGTGAGGCAAGCAACTCTCAAGTTTGTAAGGTGGAAACTCCCAAACTCTGAAGCTAACAACTCTCAAGTTTGCAGTGTGGAAACTCCCAAACTGTGAGGCAAACAACTCTCAAGTTTGCAATGTGGAAAGTGAAGCAAAACGATCTCAAATTTGCAATGCGCTCCCAAACTCTGAAGCAAACAACTCTCATGTTTGCAAGGTGGAGTTTCCTAGTTTGCAATTTGGAAACTCCCAAACTCTCAATCAAACAACTCTCAAGTTTGCAAAGTGGAAACTCACAAACTCTGAAGCAAACAACTCTCAGCTTGTGATGTGGAAACTCTCAATCTCTCAATCAAAAAAACACCCTCAAGCTTGCAACACGGGGACTCCCAAACTCTGAAGAAAAAACTCTCAATCTTGGAAAGCACTGTCCTCTGCACCACGCCTGGGCTTGCAGTTGGAGTTCCTGCAACACAGAAGCAGACTTCAGACAAGAGTGAATGTGCAATAATCGCCTTGGATTCGACACCAAGAGCTCCATCTGCCTGGCCTTGAACAAAAAAAACATTTGTAGGACTCGAAACACAGACGATCCTGACTGGCCTTGACCTCCTCCAGCTGCGCCTGTCCAAACTTGGAGTCTAATCATTGTAAATTGTAGAAGCAGCGCCTGCGCATGGAAGTCCTCCATTTCTTCCTGCAGGCGCTTCTCCTGCGAGGCCTGCCGAGCAAACGCTGCCAATGCAATCTATTACCTACCATTGCCTCGCCCATCATATTCTTCGCCTAGTGAACAAAACCAACATCACGCACCGTGAGACCAAATCGTGTTCGCCTCCAGCTAAAGCCGCTCCGCTGTCTCCACCTCACAAAAGAAACACGTTGTGAGAAGCGATGCGTGTTGCTTGAAACTCTCAAAACTCTCAAACCTCTCAATATTGCTTGAAACTCTCAAAACTCTCAAACCTTTCAATATTGCTTGAAACTCTCAAAACTCTCAAACCTTTCAATATTGCTTTAAACTCTCTAAACTCTCAAACCTGTCTCGAAACTCTCAAAACTCTCAAAACCTTGCCTCGGCCCAAAGCTCTGAGGCTTGCTGCTCCACCTGCGGTTCAAGCAAAATTCGTAAAAAATATGATTTCAAAGCGGATGGCCTTGGCTTGAAGCGCTCGCTCACGAACCCCCATCTCCTGGAGCGCAGCCTGCAGGCTCTCCTGACAATATACAAAGCAAGGCCCTTCTATGCAATTGACGAACCACGCTCCGGCTGGGAGGCAGCGGGCTTGTCGCGACCCACATTCAGGCCCGCACCACATGCTGCTACCCGGAAAGTCGGCCCTGGCCCACCCGCCGCCCTCCCAGTTCTGCTCCTGGATCCCCGCAAAACCTGGCCAGCCGCCCGCAAAGGCTTCCACCTCTGGCCAGGTTTGTGGGGATCCACGACGGCCCAGCCACACAGAGTATGGCGTCACCGACATCGCTGCCGACGCGATGCCGAGGCGTGCTCCTGCTCGCGCTGCTTGTGCTGCTGCTACTGCTGCTACTGCTGCTACTGTTGCTACTGCTGCTACTGCTGCTAATGCATGCTCCTGCTGCCGCATGCTCCTGCTGCCGCATGCTGCTGCTACTGCTGCTACTTCTACGTGTTCTGCTGAAGCTAGTGCATAGCATGCTCCCTAGTCACTTGAGAGTTTTGGTTTAGTTGATTGCGAGAGTTTATTGGTCCTAGACTCAGACTTATATTCTATCAATGTTTTCTGAGTGTGTTCAAAATTTTGCGCGAAATGCCCATGACATGTACATCGGATTCCCGAACAGTCAACCCAGATGCGCGCGCAAGCAGTCCTGAAACAGCGTGAGCGCCGCTGCCTCCAGCACGTCCAAACTGAAGACGAAACCTGCCTCCTCGCAAACCGCAATTGTCCTTGGCCGCAAGCGCAAGTGCATGCGAGGATACGTGAAGTTTACTGTCCCCAAAAAATACCATTCGGTTTCCAACACGGCTCGCAGCCACCAGGTTTGCATTCTGCTTGCACAAGTCCTCCTTGAGCTTGATGCCATCCTCCGTCTCGCTGTTGAGCACCATGCTGTCGCTGATGCCCTTCAGCAGTTCGTCCTGGCCGGATTCGCGAGAGCACATGTGTAGCGATTGCATGCGCCTGCTTGCAGTACAAGCGCTCCTGCTTGGTGCCCTCAGGAACCACCTCCTTCCACGCAGCCACAAGCTTGGTCACCCATGGCTCATTCGAGATCCGCTCTGCCATGGCGCGCCAGACGTGTCAAACCCTGCGTGCTGCATTCATGCATGCAGCATGCACTGACAAAGATTAACGTACAGTGGCCTGAACCTTGCAACCGCGAAGCATGGCCTGACTCGAATCAGAAGGGTCTTGCACATGGTGTTGTTTTTTTAATGTAAATGCGTTGTTCAATGTTGAGCCACGCGCCGCGAGTACGGGCATTAGTACATGTCACATCTGTGTGCAACTAATTGCTTTGATTTGCCAACTGCACGTCTGCACGACCGTTTCCATCCACGCAAAGCAACATTGATGATAAGCGTGCAAGCAAGCAATAGCAAGAGCAAATAGCAAAAGTTATATTGCAGTTAAGCAATCAATATAGCAATAAAGGAAACTTGCGTTAGCAAGCTCGCCAAGCCATCAAGCGAACCGTACGCAGGCAACCAGCCTGCATGCACACAAACAAATACATACACTAGCTCGCGCGGGCGAAAACACGCAAATAATACAAGGAAGAAACAAAAACACACAGAGAAACACCAAAGGAACAAACACATGCCACAAACAGCGACACAAATTCACACAACAGAAATGCAACAACCACGCAAACGGGACAAAGCAAGCAAACCCAAAAAACACAGACACACCAAGCAAACAAACACACACACACAAACACACAAACACACACAACCAAGCAAACAAACGCACACGCACACACACGAACACACAAACACACAAAACCACACAACCAAGCAAACAAACACACACAAACAAACAAACTAGCAAACAGACACACAAACAAACAAACA